GGGTGTGGCCAAGGCAATGGATTCTGGGAGATGTAGTTTCCCAGTGAAGTGGGTGGGGCATGCATGGTGGGCGGGGTTAGATCTTTACTTTGTACCTCTTTTTGTCATCCAGTTTGGGGCGGGGGCCAGGTTACAGGAAGGGACTCCAGGCTCCTTGTGGGATTTGGGGTCCTGGATGCACTAGGGGCTGCTCCATCCCCTGCCCGGTGTACAGTGATTTCCAGCAGGGCACAGTGGGTGCGAAATGCTGCCATGCAGACAGGCTCGTTGCCCCAGGGTCAGGGACTACACAGGGCAAGGGAGAGCAGGCGTCAGCTCAGCTCTCACCATGGGGCTTCCCAAGGTGAAATAAAACCTTGTCCAAAACCTCAGATCCCATCCTCCCTGCTGTAAATCCAGAGTCGCTCCAGGAGAGGCCTGGGGGAAGTCTGGATTGACTCTGTAGGAGCTGAATGCAGAATCCGGCCCAGGCCCTGCTGCAGCCAGTGGCTGACTGGATTTCCCCCCTGGTGACAGAGAGCAGAATCCAGCCCATGAGCACAAGCCCCAGCACTCAGCACCCCCATTTCCCCCCTGCCCTAGGCTCCTTTTTCCACCCCCAGGGCCTTGTCCCTCTGATCTCATTGTTCTCTGCTCCGGTTTGAACTCCTTTTTACCAGATTTTCCTTTGCAGCTCTGATCTTGCTCTTTTCCTATGCCTCTGTTTTTACCTTCAGCATTTGCTGTCCCCTTCCTTCCCTCCCTCCCCTTCCACTCTCCATCCCCCCTGTGTTCCCCTCCCCTGTCCCACCTCTGGGGTCAGAGCAGGGGGATTGAGAGCCAGGACTCCTGGGTTCTATCCCCAGCTCTGGGAGTGGGATCTAATGATGGGGGGGGGGGAAATCAGGACTCCTGGGTTCTCTACCTCGCTGTGTGATTTTAGGCAAGTCACATCCCCTTTCTGAGCTTCAGTTTCCCCATGCATTGGACAATCCCTTTGAGCACCGCCAGGGTCACTGACTGGCGTTCTCTGCCCTGTGCCATGGCCCCGTGCCCCTTCCTCTCAGTCAACATGCTCCGACCTTCCTGGATGGAAGGCAAAGGCTGGAGCTGATGGGGCCAGAGCCCAGCCCCAGGGAAGCCAGGCTGCAGTCTCCTCCCTTCCTTGGCATGGCGCCCCAAGTGCGGCAGCTCAGCAAACCCCTCCCCTGAGCCCCCTTGGGTCAGAGGAAAGCCCCCACAGGGCAGCTGGGCAGGGATCGCCCTTCACTCTGGGGCACCAGGATCCTACCACGTCCCAGCCAGCCCTCCCTGTCCTGCTAATTAGCACATGGCTCCGCAGGGCTCCCCCTTGCTTTGCTTGCTAATTAATTTGCTGTTGCTGCTCATTAGGATCAGCCCCTGGCATAGTCTGGGGCAGCAGGTCCTCTGGGCTAGGAAGGCAGCAGCTCTGGTGGCCCACAGAGCAAGCACCTCCCCCCGACTAGGGGCAGCTGCTGCTAAGCCAAAGCCGATGGGGGTGGGGGGCGCGGCCTCGGTCCAAGGTGGGGAGGAAAAGCCGCCCGTTGACTGGTGCACCCCCCCCCCCCCGGATTCTTCTCCGCTCCCTGCCTAGGGGAGGGGGACGTTCCCGCTGCTGTAATTTGTTGCACAAACATTGTTCGAATTTTTTTTTCCAGAATTGCATTGATCCCGGTGCACAAAGCGCCCATAAATCCGTCTAATATCCCGGCTGATTGATTATTGCCCTTTGGAAGGGGGCTGGCCCGGCCTGCAAATTAAAAATGATACGGCTAAACCAGACGTACGATCGCAAGTGCTGATGCTGCAGGCCCGCTCCGGGGCGTGGGCACTCAAACCGGGGCAAGTCGCCGCAAGACAGACAGGCACCCAGAAACCAACACACACACACACGTGCAGATTTACACCGACGCCCAGGCAGACACAAATTCACACCGTAACAAATACACAAACACAGAGGGAAACGCGCTCAGAGACACACTGACAATCCCCTTAACACGCACACGCATAAAGGCGAGACCCACGAACGTCTCACATCGAAACCCCCGTTAAAAGTGAGAGTCCATTGCCGGCGGGGCAGGGCAAGGAGCGGACAAAGAGATGGAATTGCTATCGAGCGCCGGCCCAGTTCCCAGCCCGCTGGCTGATCTGAAAGGGGCCGGGTGTCAGGGAAAGCTGGAGGTCGCCACCCTGGAGAACCAGGCAGCCCTTTGCACAATATTCCTTTCTGTCCTAATTGCTCAGAAAATGCAGATTTGACTATCTCTGGATGGCGAGTCTCCAGAATCAGCACAGCTCCCCGGAGCTCTGCGGGCAGGAGCTACATTTGCATCAAAGGAGCAAATTCAGTAAAGATTCGAAAAGAGCAACCATAAATCAGATCCCAAAGCGCAAAACGTCCCCTGCTCTTCTGCCAAGATGAATGTGGAAGCATGGGAGACAACTGCTGCGGGCCAGAGACTGGTAGCTATTGAGATGTATTGGAATAGCCAGACCCTGGCTCCGAGCTCGGCCTAAAAATTAACTACAATTCCCCCAGGTCCTGAGGGCGATCAAAGAAGGAACCTTTGCTGAGAAAGGTTTTACGTGTGCAAACAAACAACGGGAAAGCACCACGGCACACGTACACACATGCACTAACTACACAAACTAACAGACAATAAGCAGAGAGAGACACACACACACCATGGGGATTTTTAATCCTCTGTAACTTGATTTTGTTTCCAAGATTGCGCAGCCAGTGGAGACCAGACCCATCGTGACATTTCACTGGCTTAAAGTCACCGGAGGCCCCTCAAAATGCATTTTAATAAGGGGGAGGGGGGTTGTCAGGGGAGCAGAATACGTGTCAAGCTCTAAAAAGCTGTCTGTGAAATTTCTAGTGCTACTAGCTCGAGATACCTGTCCAGGGGGGTTAGGAACCTGCCTAGACTAGCACAGAACAGGACCGTTGGCCAGCCAGCTAGCCAAGTAGTGACATCCTGACAGAGGGCTGGCCAGGGGACCAGCTGTCTCTCTCTCATGCACCCCCCCCATACACATGCAGAGCTCGCTCTGTCGATATACAGAATTTTTGTACCCTCCTAACCGTACAGCCATATTGCTCTTCGGCTGTCCCTCTGCATGTTACACGCCCCAGTCTCCTCGCACTCCCCAAATAGCCTCACACCCCCACAGAACTGACACACACACATTGTGTATTTGTCTGTGCAACAGCCACAAGAATAGCAAGGTACCACCTCTCTACAGCGTGTATCGAATGAACCCCTCTACACAGAGGTGCCCTGCAAAGAGGAGCGTGTATGTTAAATAGATTTACACTCACACTCACACTCACACACACTTTGGCCAAGGTTTCCAGAAGGAACCCGCGAGTTCTCGGAGCTTTGATTTGGGGGTGCTCGGTTGAGGCTCAATGTCTCCTGCTCCGAGAAACAGGCCCCCTGAAGGCGTCACGAGTTGGGTACGTCAACAGGAACTCCCCCGGAATCACGCCGAAACCCAGCGGGAGCTCGGGTAGCCAGAGGACGCAGCCCTGGCCAGGCGGTGAGGCTGTGTGGCTGACCGGCCTGCCCTGCCCTAGCTCAGCGATGGGGGAATTAGGGGCTAGGCCAGGCTGAGCTGAGCTGTGCATGTCACTGGGCTCCGGCCTCTGCACCCCGCTGCCCGCCGAGCCCGGGAGCAGGGCCAGGGGTGTCACATCCCCGCATCCCTCATGTCTATGGATGCCTGGTGTAAACAGGCCCGCCTGGCTCCCCTGCAAGGGTAGGTTATTTACACGCGGGCGCCTCCCTGCCCCTCAAGCGGGCTACGGCATCTTGCAAGATGGAGCGCCAGGATCCCTGGACGGGGCGGGGGTGGGGGGTAATTGATTAATTAATGACTGTGATGCTTTGCAGCCCCTGTAGCCGATCTGTCAACTGTTAATCAGTCTCCGCAGAGAGAGGCGGGGAGGTAAAGCGCGTTAATTGCACAGGGGAACGATACAAACCCAGCACATAAAACCCAGCCTGAAACACGACTCCAGCTGGGGGGGGCCGGAGCGGCAGGATTAGCAGCCCGGAACGGGGGGGGTAAACAGCAGTAATAGGAACCAGGATAACACCAGGCCCCAGTGGGGCCGAGCAGCAGGCGCAGGGTGGGGTCACCCCCCCGCCGGCTCCGCGTCTTGTGGGAAGAGACGTGATGCTCCCTGCCTGAGCCGCGTCTCCTCCCCCGCGGCACTTGGGGACGATGCCCGCGGACCCCCGGCCCCGCCAGCCCCTCGCTCCTGCGAATGCCCGGGGAGCCCGGCTGCTCTGGACGGGATCCGACACGCCGCAGCTCCGCGCCCGCGGGGCTGGGGCTGGGCCTCGCCTCCCTCCTGGGCCCCGAGGTGGCCCTGCTGGTCTTCGAGCGACCGTCGGCCTCTCCCGCCGCTCAGGCCGGCCTCCTCGCTCCCTCCCCGCTGAGCGCCGGGGGAGCTCGGGGTGGGGGGCGCCAGGGAGGCGGGGGGGGGGACCGGAGGCTCGGGCTCGCTGCGCAGAGATGATGCCCATCTGAGCTGGCACGAGGAGAAGCCTGGAGCTGCCGCGGTCACCAGCTGGGCTCTCCGGGAGACAGGAGGGGAAGGCAAAACCTCGCAGTCTCCCCCCCCGCCACCCTCCTCCCAGCTCTCGCCGACCCCCCCTCCGCCCGCTGCCGCTGCGTCCAGCGAAGCGCGAGCAATCCGGAGCGTCTCCCGGCAAGGAGAGCGCGTCTCCGGCGCGGTGCGGGGCGGCGGCGCGGGCGGCAGGGAACGCGGGCGCCCGGCGCCTGGGCAACTTGGTGGGAACTTTCCCGTCCCTCGGAGCCGAGTCAACAAGTGCGGAGCGGAGCCGGCTGCGGAGCGGAGCGGAGCCGGCCCGGGGGCGCCGCAGGGCAGCTCCGTGGGCGCCGCGCCGGGGCCGCCTCTCCTCCCCGGACTCTTTGGGGGGTTCCGGATCCGCCGCCCCGGGCCCGTCCCTGGAGAAGCTCCCACCATTCCCTCCAAAAGCGAAGACGACTTCCTAGCCCTGGCCGCGTCCAGGCTGAGCCGCAAGAAGAGGGTGATCGGGGCGGCCATCGGGGTGGCCATGGTCCTGGTCCTGCTGGTGGCCATCCCGCTGGTAGTGCACCGCTCCAAGGCCTCCCCGCCCGACGGGGCGCTGGGCAGCTGCCACATGGTCTGCGAGCCCCACACGCCCCAGACCCACGGGGCGGCCTCCGCCGAGGCCAGTCCGGAGCTGGCCGTCGTCTCCCCGCCCCCGGCCCCGCCGGGGGGCAAAGGGGACCCAGGGAGGAGGGGCAAGTCTGGGATCCGGGGGCCCCGGGCCCCCCGGGGCCGCCGGGGCCGCGCGGTCCCGCCGGAGAGCCGGGCAGGCCGGGGCCGCCGGGGCCGGGGCCGGGGGGCTACGTCCCCTCGCTCTACAGCCCCCGGATCGCCTTCTACGCCGGGCTCCGGAAGCCCCACGAGGGCTACGAGGTGCTGCGCTTCGACGACGTGGTGACCAACGTGGGGAACTACTACGAGCCGACCCGCGGGAAGTTCACCTGCCCCCTGCCCGGCATCTACTTCTTCACCTACCACGTGCTGATGCGCGGCGGGGACGGGACCAGCATGTGGGCCGACCTCATGAAGAACGGGCAGGTAGGAGAGCCCCCCGCCCCGGCTCTGCGGCCTCCGCCTCCCCTGGACCCCGCCCCCTTCCCCACGGGCCCCGCCCACCTCCCCTGGGCCCCGCCCCTCCCCCGCGGGCCCCGCCCCCTCCCCTGGACCCCGCCCCCTTCCCCACTGGCTCCGCCCACCTCCCCTGGACTCCGCCCACCTCCCCCACGGGCCCCGCCCACCTCCCCCACGGGCCCCTCCCCCTCCCCCACGGGCCCCGCCCACCTCCCCTGGACCCCGCCCCCTCCCCCCACGGGCCCCGCCCACCTCCCCTGGACCCTGCCCCTCCCCCACGGGCCCCGCCCACCTCCCCTGGACCCCGCCCCCTTCCCCACTAGCTCCGCCCACCTCCCCTGGACTCCTCCCACCTCACCTGGACCCGGCCCCTCCCCCACTGGCTCCTCCCACCTCCCCTGGACCCGGCCCCTCCCCCACGGGCCCCGCCCACCTCCCCTGGACCCTGCCCCTCCCCCACTGGCTCCTCCCACCTCACCTGGACCCCGCCCCTCCCCCACGGGCCCCGCCCACCTCACCTGGACCCCACCCCCTTCCCCCACTGGCTCCGCCCACCTCACCTGGACTCCGCCCACCTCCCCATGACCCCGCCCCCCTTCCCCCACTGGCTCCGCCCACCTCCCCTGGACTCCGCCCACCTCACCTGGACCCCGCCCCTCCCCCACTGGCTCCTCCCACCTCACCTGGACCCCGCCCCTCCCCCCACTGGCCCCGCCCACCTCACCTGGACCCCGCCCCTCCCCTACTGGCTCCTCCCACCTCACCTGGACCCTGCCCCTCCCCCACTGGCTCCTCCCACCTCACCTGGACTCCGCCCACCTCCCCTGGACCCTGCCCCTCCCCCACAGGCCCCGCCTACCTCCCCTGCACCCCGCCCCTCTCCCCCCTAGCTCCGCCCAGCCCACTTGCTCCTCCCCCTCACCTGCTAGCCACCCCTCTCCCCATTGGCTCCACCCAGCCCAGGTCCACTCCCCCACTGGCTCCACCCACATCACCTGCAACCCCACCCCCTCACCCCACTGGCTCCGCCCACCCCACCTGCAACTCCCATTGGCTCCTCTCACCTCACCTGCAGGTCCCAGTTCCTGCCAACCCACCCATGAAAAACAGTAGCTTTTACCTGTAAATCAGCCAAATTTACCTCCAAGCATATGCTCCCCAGCTCCACCCTGCCAGTGTGCACACCTGCCCTCTCACCTGTGCCCAGCCTTGCCAGAGCTGTGTGTGTGTGATGGATTCGGAGCTTTGGGGAGGGGAAGGGCAGCAGCCAGGGTCTGATTCCTCAGACCATCGGTCCATAAACCCCATGTGGGAAGGGCTGCCTAGACCCCTACAAACAGGGCACGTTCTAAAATCCAGCGACTTCCTATGACCCCTTTACATGCCCTGGGCTATAATCCTTCTGTTCATAATGGTATTTCGTTATTAACATTGGTAATAATAACGTTTATGTACAGCAATGCTCGGGGTATTGTTTAGAGAATGCTGACCGTGCGGCGGGTTTTCAATTGTATAAATATATTTTAGGTAGATAGATAGATAGATAGAGGGGGTGTGTGGGGATAGATAGAGGGGATTTATGGTTGGGGGTGTATGGGGATAGATAGATAGATGGGGTGTATGCGGATAGATAGCGGGGATTTATGGAGGGGGGTGTACGCGGAAAGATAGATAGATAGATAGAGGGGATTTATGGAGGGGGGTGTATGGGGATAGATAGATGGGGCGTATGGGGATAGATGGAGGGGATTTATGGAAGGTGGTGTACACGGATAGATAGATAGATAGAGGGGATTTATGGAGGGGGGTGTATGGGGATAGATAGATAGATGGGGTGTATGCGGATAGATAAATAGATAGATGGGGTGTATGGGGATTGATAGATAGAGGGGATTTATGGAGGGGGGTGTATGGGGATAGATAGATAGATAGATAGATGGGGTGTATGGGGATAGATAGATAGATAGAGGGGATTTATGGAGGGGGTGTGTGGGGATAGATAGATAGATAGATGGGGTGTATGGGGATAGATAGGTTCTTTTTTAAGGAACAAAATAAAGAGTTAAGAAAATTGAAATGCAAACAAGATTAATTTTGCTGGGAACCCTCCGGTTCAAGAAAGTCCCTTTAGGTTTGTGACCCAGTGCTGGGTTAGAATTAGTCGCCAACTCCTCATACCAGACACCTTGGCTTGGGAGCTGACCGGTTTGTTTGTATTATATCTAAAGTAAAATACAGAGAACAAGAAGGTCCGGGCAAAGCTGTTCAGTTCTATTCAGTCCTTCAGAATACGGAGGGGCAGGGTTACCCGTTCCTTTAAAAAATGAAAGCAAACCTCAGAGCATCTGGAATCTGAGAGGCATTTATTTTTAAGATAGCCGTGGGCTATTTTATTTGTAAAATATTGTGTTATCAGAGTCCAGACGTTATTGCAGCAATTGTTAGAAGAAAAATAGATTCCCCCCCTACCCCAAAAATAGCAAAGAATAAGATACATGCAACAATCAAAGCAACCCACAAATACACACACACACACACACACTCACTCCTTCAGAACACAGAGAGATGGGCTTGTAAAGTTTAATCAAATGTGGGGGGTCGTGGTGTGGGAGAGAAGTTGTTACATTTTTTCAGATTAGCAGGAGTACCTCCGGAATACCGGAGATGGGTTTTCAAAACCTGCTCTGTGTTGAGCCAAAAAATAAAATAAGATGAGAAGTATCTGCACCTTCCTTGATCGTTCAAGAGGAGAGATGTTATAGAAGCATAAGCAGTTCTTACGTGTGTGTGTGTAGTAGATATTACATATGGCTGCTTGCATGTGTAATGTATGTTATAATATACTGAGAGTGCACAGGGGAATCTATACGTCTAGCGGGGATATTTATTAACTATACGTTCAGTGTGTGTTTGTCTAATATGTAATGTACATCAGCGGTTGAACAGTTTATATAGAATAGTCTATAGTCCAATATATGCTATTAAACTGCGATTCTGTGCGCCCTGTACAGGATATTATAAACCCAACCCTACCGCCTCTGTGGGTGAGTGTGTATTATGGCTACATTTCAGTGTCTATAATATAAATACTTTACAGAATGTATGTACCCTATTTAATAGTTTAGTGTGTGTAGACACGTAATTATAAAGAAACAGTTTATGTACATATATCCTGCGCAGACTGTGTGATACACAATACTTTGTACGTGTAGCTGAATAGTAAATCTATATGCACATAATGGTTAATAGTTTATATGCATTTCAAAGTGTCTCTATAGCACTAAATACTGTCACGCACCTAGATTTACTATATTGCATATGTTTACCGAGGGTGTTTCTATAGAGAGATCGTCGATGTCGATAGATACACACTCACCATGTTGACAGATTTACACTCTCAAAATTTCCTCTAAAATCCTCCCAAGTCTCCCCAACGGGGGGGATAAAAACCTGAGATTTTTCATCTCTGGAGAATCATTTGTCTTTTTCTCCCTTCCTCTTCTACTCCACTGTCAATAAACTCATATCAAATCTTCTCCTCACCTCCACATGCTTTATTAGCATCCGCTCCAAAGCGGGGTCGGGTGCTTTAAAATCCGCTGCATAGAACCTGGCCCAGAAACAAACAAAAATGCCCTGTTTCAGAGGGGCAGCCGTGTTAGTCTGTATCCGCAAAAAGAACAAGTCCTTGTGGCACCTTAGAGACTAACAAATTTATTTGGGCATAAGCTTTTGTGGGCTAGAACCCGCTTCATCAGATGCATGGAGTGAAAATACAGTTATCTTCCTATTGTATTTTCCACTGCATGCATCCGATGAAGTGGGTTTTAGCCCACGAAAGCTTATGCCCAAATAAATTTGTTAGTCTCTAAGGTGCCCCAAGTCCTCCTCCTGCTTTTTTCAAAAATACCCTGACAAATATTGTTTATTTCCTATTTTATGGGGTTGATGTTCACATGCCCAGAGAACCACGCGAAGGCCGGGATTAAGATATTTAGTATCAGGTGATTCTTTTCTTTTCTTTTCTTTTCTTTTCCTTTTTCAATAAAGAAAATAACTTGACAGTTGAGCTAAAATGACACCATTTAGAAGCTCAACCTGGACACCCTCCATTTATTAAAGATAAATAAGTCATTGATCTCAAACTTTAAATGCATCCCCCTCTCCCTCCCACCGGCTGCCTGGACTAATGAAAGCAGCTCCTCGGAGAAGCCGTCTGTGTGTCTCTTGAGCGAATCAATAGACATATTTACATTTGGTCGCCAAGTGTCTTTAGCCGTGGGATTAGTAGGTGCTAACGCCCAAACCCCACTGTTTTCTATATCAGCGAGTCCTTTCGCCGCGGGGCCCAATCCTGAGCCGGTGCCGACTGAAGCCCCTGGACCTCCGTCACCATGTGTGATCCTTTACATCCAGGCCAAACGCAGCCAGAATTGAAACTTTTCACACCCACAGTGCATTGGTGTAAACCCGGGCGCAAGGTGCCGGGCAACAGAGAACAAGGCCCAGTGCTGCTGCAGCAATGTCGCCGGGGGGCCGTACGGTTCTTTGCCTGTGACAGTTTCTCTCCTGTCACCTGCAGGCTTTCCTGTCCCATGTCACAGCAGTGAGGTCTGTACTGGGGTGCTGGGACTGGCTTTCTTGCCAGCTACCACCTAAAATGAGTCTGGTGTGAAAAGTTCCCATTTGGCTCACCCTCTCCCCTTCAATCAGCAAAAGAACCTGGCCGTTACCATCACTCTTCTGTCCCCCTGCCAGAGGATCAATTCGTTATTCAGGGCTGTTTGGCCGGCACCTCGACTAGATCAAAGGCTATTGATAATGAATTCTGATCATCTCCAGGGGCCAGAATTGTAGCTGGTGTAAACTGACATGGTTCCATCAACTTCAGTGCTGAGGATCTGGCCCCTAATATATTAAAAAAAACATCCTAGCCCCCACCTTTATACTACAGCTTGGAAATCTGG